AATTTCACAATTAGCATGTACTTATGGCATTGCGACAACGTCCAAAGTGAGTTTGGAAGATACCTTGTATACAGTTTGTTTCTTACGGAAATAACCGTTGATATAGGCGGAATCAAATAGTCATGTATCAGTATGTCAAGGATTTGATCCATCAAAATCTGGTGCTGCGCTATGGTCGTCGTTATGGGACACGGGAGATCTACCTCAAAAGGTATTCCACTAATGTTTTTTTTAACCTTCTTTTTAAATTCACTTCATTATATTCGTTTTCTTCTTTACGTGCTATTTATTTTTGGAGGAAACCTATTTTAGGACGATGAATGTATTCCTGGCTCTACAGAGTTAGGTGTCGGAGTTTGTCAGCGTTTCGCTGTCCCGGCAAACACATCAAGGACAGCAGAGTTTGCGTTAGCATGGGATATGCCTAACGTGTTGTTTGGTGCATCAAGAAGATGGTATAAAAGGTGAGGATCTTTTTCCATTAGAATCTTTGCATAACTATAAGTTTAATATCTTTATAGGCGATATACAAGGTTTGTAAGAGGAGCATCATGCCTTTGTGCTCGAGCCTTGGGAAGAAGAGCTCAATGGGAAAAAGCGCTGGATGAGTGGCAAATGCCTATTTTACACAACCCCCAACTGCCTGAATGGTATAAATCAGCGATTTTCAACGAGCTCTACTTCATGACTGATGGAGGATCGCTTTGGTTTGAATATGATGATGACTGGGCCAAAAATGAAACCCAACTAAGCGACTATACCAAAAATCTTATGAAACAGTATGGTAGATTTGGATATCTGGAATGTAAGTTGGGATGTTGCATTGGTCATTGGTTACAAGGCAACATGCTTTTTCTTTAGCTTGGGAATATCGAATGGTTAATACTTATGACGTGCATTTTTATGCATCGTTTGCGATAGCTCAATTATGGCCTCACATAGAACTAACGGTTCAATCGGAATTTAGTAAGTACTTTTAAAAATCGTAAATTTTAAATTCTTCTGTTTTTATACTGCTTTGGATATCTTTGTTTTTTCTTATCGTTCTTGGAAATATTTCTATTTT